TTAATCTACTATCTTAATATATATGAGTTTTATTTAGTTGTGGTAGAGCTGTACACGTAAAGAGGTGCGCAAAGTTGGTGGGGTGGCCCGCTCGCTTGTATGGCCCGCTCGCTTGTAAAACACGTTACGAAAAGTGTGGTACGAACATGCAGGAGCGACAACATGTACCCACATGGGTAGCAGAACGTGCATTGTATATTCAGGGACTATGTTGGTAATATTCCAAGTGCGGGTTCAAGGATCACAATGTAGTTCTAACGTAAGCTCGCACTATCTTTATCAAAGTTGCTGTAAGATACATGTGACGTCATAAACTTGCCTGCAGTAGTACATGAGCTTATTGATCGAGCCTACTGCACTCATCTTATCAAAGACCAAAACCACACCACATAGCAAGCATCAATTTCCAGATTCTTCACAACTCCAAACTACCACAATGGCAGGGACATATCCGGAAATCACATGGCACCCCATACCCCACTCAGACGCAACATGTAAAGTCCACCTTATCCAAGCCGGCGGCCTCTACATTCCCTACGACCTAGTCCTGCTTCCGGACTCGGACAAGCCCAATGACCCCTCGGGATCCGAAGTATCAAAAGAGGAGCGAAAAACATACTATGCTCCGGATTATGTCTTCCTGATTGAGCATATAGCATCTGGAACAAAGTACATGTTCGACCTCGGCATACGGCCAGACCTTGAAAATCAACCCCCACTCATTAAGGAAACTGTACTTCCAGTCTTCAAATGCGAGCCCAAGTCTCCCGAGGATATTCTCAGAGAACATGGTTCATCTGAGCAGCAACCAGAAAAAGTCAAGGCTGTTATCTTCTCGCATATGCATTTCGATCACATTGGTGACGGTGCAAAAGGCGGGTTCGAAGGCGCAGAGTTGTGGGTTGGACCTACGTGTTGTACATATGCACGTCCGGGTTATCCCGCTCAGGAGAGGGCACCGACGCTAAGTGATACGCTGCCTGTGGATGGGAGCAGAAAGGTTGTAGAGTGCTATATACCTGATGACCTACTCCGAGATACCGGAGACAAGAGAGCAGGCCAGGTTGTGCAAGGAATGAAAGAAGGAAAGTATGCTGCTGTTGATTTAAAGAAACCAGAGTGGATACGTCTGGGTGCTTTTGAGCGAGCGTACGATGTTTTTGGCGATGGAGCAGCGTACATTGTCGATGCACCGGGACATTCACCAGGGCACCAGATGATGCTAGTGAGAACAACTTCTGGCTCTGGTGACGAGGAAAGTTCGTTTGTACTCATGGGCGGCGACTGCTTCCACCATGTCAACGTCCTCCAAGATCCAAACCGCACTGCTCGCCCGCCTTATTCAAAAGGCTGCATGCACGTGGACCCCGAGCAAGCAGTCAACACCATGCTCCGCACAAGGGAATTCTCACGAAAAGACAACGTCTGGGTGATAGGAGCCCACGACAAAACCGTCGGCCAAGGAATCCAGCCCGGAGTCAAAGAACTCACCGGCCTCATAGACATCACCAGTTGGAAAGCATCAGGCTGGAAAACCCCACTCTAGTTCCAGGCACTCAAAATGCAGTAATCCTTGCGAAGCCCCCTCCTCTTCTTCTAAACGAGCAATACCCACCACCAAGCCCCCCGGAGTCCCACTCCCTTGTCAAAAAGCAACCGATATGACATCGAACATTCCCCAAACATCCCAATGCAAATATCCCATGGACCTGCTCCCAAGCCTCTTGGCTCCCGAGACACAGAAAGCTTGACCATTGTTCCTTTGCGTCACACCGTCCGCGTTTAGAGCCCCACTTTATTCCCCTTCTAGCACCCACCCCCTTGTTCGCAGTAACGAAAGAAAAGAGACTCAGTAGCTTCGGGCTTGGAAACGCTGGTTTGAAAAGGACGTCGGGGCGGGGGTGTCGGTGTCGGTAGGGGGGAAGAGAAAAAATGGAGACGGTGAGGGTCGGGCAGGGGAAGGGTAGGGGAGTTGGGGAGACAAGGGGGAGGCTCGTATGTAAGGTACCATAGTTTTCCCCCGGGAATACCCGCCATCTTAGTGCCCACCTCGAGAGTAAGTAGCGAGGGAAAGGGCAGAAGAAAGTTGCGGCGTACGCTGTTTCGAAGTGTGTCTTGGCATACTCAGCGCCGCATGAACGGAGAGCCTTGTGGCGTGATTCGTGCCCCAGGCGCGTCCTGACATAAGGGGAATGAGATGCCTAGGAATTGTTTTTCTGTTGCAGTGGCGACGAGGGGGGGGGCATGTGGCTCGGGTCCTCGGCGCGTATAATGAAAGGGCTGTTTTGATATAGATCTCGTAGGTATAATATCTTATAGCGAGGCTTCAATACCAATACAGTCTATTTATTGCCCCTTTTTCGTTTTTAACTAGAAGGATCTATGTAGATGGTGCATGATTAATGTACTCTAAACTATGCATGTGAATAGTAGGTATGAATGTCTGTATGTCCATTTTTTTGGTTTTGCTAAGGATGGGGTCATTAAATGAACATTTGATTCGCAAAGCTGACTTGCAGCTGCGAGTGAATTAAGTCTTTGAACATGATAAAAGAACAAAACAAAAAAAAAGCGGACGACAACAGGGAAATAAGGGGGTGGTAGTGATGCCAGATGAGCGAATTACTATATATACAACGGATAATAAGATAAAGGCTGCAAGAAATTCGCTTCCCAAAGGTGTTTAACGCACAAATAAAAAAGGCAAAAATAAAGGGTTATGGTATCTCGAATCCACTTTGCTCTTTTCTCCCTCCTCCTCCTCCAACACATACTGCCTTCCATCCCAAAATCGTCTCTTTCTTGGATGCGAGTTTGTGGTACACGAAGACTTAGAAGTTCTCCTTACCCCATACGAAACTGAAGCCAGGCTCGGAGTACATGTTGCACTTGACGTGGAGGGTGGAACCGAGACCCTTGGGACCGCAGAAGAAGACACCGGCCTCGGCGGGGGAGTGGATTTTGCGGATGGACTTGAAGATCATGTCCCAGTTTGGACGACCGAAGTTTGTGGGGGCACGGAGACCGGTGATGGCGTCTTGTTCGGCGTTTGCGTCGTTGATCATGATGTTTGTTGCGTCGTCTGCTTTGATCTTTGCGGTGAGGTACTAGATCTTCATTAGTATCTCGAACAGCTTGTGAAGTGAGGATTAGAACTTACAGTGTGAATCTCAATGTGATCATCAACATCTTGAGCCTCAATGGCAAGCAGCAACGATCGGAACCACTCGAACGAACCGAAATCTCTGCAAATCCAGAAGAAGTATACTTTTCGGAGGCGTGTGCGCGAGCCTTGGGGGTAGTTCATGCGGTACCAGATACTCTTGAGGATGGAGGCGAAGGGTGTGACACCGATACCGGCACCACAGAGGACGGCGACTTCGAACTTAAACACATCCTCGGAGGCGGAACCAAAAGGACCGTCAATGTAGACACGGGGGAGAATCTGGCGCAGAGCAATCTCCTCGCTTGAGACGCCCTTTTCACCCTTTTCACCAGCGGGCTTCTTCTCTGTGCTGCAGCCAAGGGCTTGTCCGAATGCTTTGGTGAAGTTACCGACCATACGGATGTGAACGGAGATGTAGTCTTCCTCGGGGGCGCTAGTAAGCGTGAAGGGGTGATATTGCCAGATGGAGATTTCAGGGCAACACAAGAAGATGTACTGTCCAGCACGGGTCGTGGTATGCTCCTTCTTGATTTGAACCTCGCAAACGTTGCTAGGGTGCTGAATGACCTTGGAAATGTACGTCTTGTGTCGTCCCCTGACCTCACGTGCGATACGCTCAGCGAGGTACGCAAATCCACCGTACATCCAGTACTCCCAAAAGACACCGATACCGTCGCAGAAAGGCGCAAAGTCGGGCTGAATCATGCAAAAGGCTCCGTGAATGGACCAGAAGATGAAGAAGACGATGAAGAGGTGATGCATGTACCAGAAACGCTCAAAGTTTGCGCGACGAGCCTTTTCCGCTGCCGTGAGCGCAATGGCCATCAAACAGAGCAACATGACATAACCGCTCCAACCGGGACCAGTCGCAAGGTTGGCGAGGATGAAACCCATGAATCCGAGATTGTTGACGGCCGAGAACCGGGCAAGATTGTTCCAATGGGCAATGGTGTGGACCCAGGAGAAGAAGACAATGGACCAAGCGACAAGCTTGTGGAAGGTGATGTTCTTGTCAAAGGGGATTACGTCGTTCAGAGGCGTACGACGAGCCATGGAAATTAGGTTCCTGCATACTGGGAACAGGATAAAAGCGACATCGACGTGGAGGACCAGAGCTGCTGAACGAGCGATGGGGTAGGTTAGACCAAAGGTTTGTCTCACTGCGATGACGTTGTCCTAGAGTGTTGTGTGAGCGCAGTATGCAGAAGTCCAGAACAGAAATGCCTACCTTTAGTCCGTAGTTCATCATACCAAAGACGAAGACCATGACGTGGAGAATGGCAAAAGTAAAGACGAAGCTGATCGTTATTAGTCAAGTTGTCCAATCGGCTTGCAGAGTAGCGCTCACAATCTTCGGTAACCCTCGTTAACCATCCAGACGTCAAACTTTTCTTTCCGTGTCAACTCCCGCGCCCTTTCCTCTGACATCTCGCCAGACATGAGCATGCGGGTAAGGGGCGGCCATCTTGACCGCTCGCGGCCGGTTAGACTGGTAGTGAAGGACATGACTACTATGTGGAGCGAGAGTGCAGTAACCGTAGAGCGCCTGTCGGTGGATGCCGATGGGCTTCAGACCTGCTGAATGTGGCCGAGTGGAGAATTTGTAAATTCAAAGAGAGTCTAAGTAATCTGGAAGCGCATATCATTAGTCTTTGCGAGGTCCAGCCAGCGACAACGACAACAACACGACTACGTACTAAAAGTGCCCGCACGAAAAGAAGAGAAGAGAGGTCGCAGAGAGGCGTTGGATGACGCGGCTAAGGAAGAACCGGCATGAAGTCGGGTGAGTCTAGGGGCGAGTCGGGGAAACAAAAGTCTATAAGCCAGCAGCGTGTGGCGGCTGGTAGCAAAAAGAGGGACAAAGCGGCAACGACGGGGATGGGGTAGGTCAGGTCATGTCGACAGAGCCAGCAGCAAGTGGGTAATGGGGTCTCAGTCAGTTAGTCAGACGCTGGCAATGAATGGGGATTCGCAGGGCCCTTTGGGACCAACAGGGCGAAACGGTAGCAGAAGTCGAACCACTTTGAATGGCCTCTGTTGCGACGTAGCACGGTGCTGGCATATCGCAGGCGTCGCGAACGGGCAGCCTAGCCAATTGGAGGGCGACTATGGACGGATTCGAGTGCAAGAGATGCCAAGCGGGTTGTCTGAAACCGGGGCGGCCATGAATCTTCGTCTTTGGCATGGGAAAAGGCTGAAGGGGGACGTTTGAGAGGCGTTTTGGGGCCAAAAGCTAAAACACACAGCGTTAGAGCCCGGCGGCTCGATGTGGCGCCCCTGATCGGCCAAGCGGGCGAGCCTCAACTGCCGACGCATAACCACCAGCCCTTTGACTCCATCAGTTCCGACGCTTCTGGCCCGAGTCTCTTGTACATGTATCTATACGAAAACACAAGCTTTCTGGTGGGCTCTCAGAATGGTCCGACTTGGCTACAATGACAGCTCATGTTAAGAGATGGATGCCTTGGCTGAAGCGTCGTATCGCGGCGGGATGCCCCAGGCCACCTACTAACACCATCTGGCTCTTACAGCGGGGACTAGTCGTCTCGACTCCATAATCTAGCCTCGGTCCGTTACTTACACATACTCGACGATACATTACGCAAAGTACTTGTGGCTAGCATAGACTTGTTCGAGCAGGCGTATGCGATTACATACTACCCACGTCTGCAACGGCCCACACCCAGCACAGCGGGCATCATCAACCATCACCAAACCCCGACTCCTACACGCCGATCCGCTATGTTTTGCATGTTTCACCGGCCGTACTGCGGCACTACCTTTCGACTTCACAATTCCAAGCAACTATATCCGACCTAACAGCATATCCCCCCTCTCTTCTCCACCCAAACATTTCCAGTCTTGGAACTCCCCCAAACACCACTCCTACCAAACTACCAGTAGAGCATTGAAAGAGAACAACCAAAGACGCACCTCCAAAACACTGACAGGTCTCTCTCCCTCCCACCAAAGCATGAAGAAACTGTCTACTTGCGGAAATCCTTGGTCCCGAAACTCTCCACTTTTTTCTTTTGCGCCCTTCCGCCACACCTGCTCTGCCACAGTTTTTGCAACATCCGTCTACTAGTTACGCCCGCTCTTTTTCCCAGCCTTTCTCCGACTCGACGGGGGGGGTGGTGGGGAGCAGAAAAAAACACGGCATTAACGGCATTGCTTTCGTTGCACCAGACCCCTCAATTCCGTGTGCCCGCGCTAGAAAAAAACTGCGCGTATGCTCCTTCGAGTTTGCGTTGGACCTAGCATGTATGCAAGCGAACGGGTTGGCGAAACGTGGTCGTGCGCTGATGGGATCATTGTGTTTACCCTGTTCTGACACCGGTGTTGGCATTGTGGCTGCTGTGAGGAAGCATGGACTACTTGTGCGGATACTGGATAGTGAAAGATTGAGGCATAGGTAATCGTGCTATGTTCACTACTACACACTCGTTGAATCACCTGCCAGCATTACTAACGTAAGATGCCATCCCCTTTCTCTCTCTCTCCGCGGCTACAAATCCTCACAAACCCATCTACATGCTTGAAATCAGACCTTGGACAAACCATCGATACGCCACCGTTTGCCCCCCCCCTCTCTCTCCGCCAAAAGCCTAATCTTACATGCACATGCAAAACTTCTCGAGTGACTCGCTTCCAACCCCCCAGTATGTATACAAGTGTAACATGTCAGGAATGTCAACAGTTCAAAATATGGTTTGACTGGATAGAAACGAGTAATTGGCTTTTGCTTTGCTTTGCTTCTCCCCCCATTGCTGCGCTAACTCTAACGCCAAGTCTGCGCCGATGCCATCGCGAAGCGCCCGGTGGTGATTGGGGATTTTTTGAACGGTAGAGGGAAAGGGGGGTGGTGTGGGGGTGGAGATTGTAGAGGTTATGACATGTTCGTTTTGAGACTGGATGCTGAGTCGACAATGCTCTTTTTTGTATTGCTTGGGAAATACTTGCACATGTACAGTCGGCGATAGGTATCAAATCGGATTTGGATTTCTTTGTCCTCACGTAGTGCCATTGGAACCAAAGTATGTTGAGAACATGAAAAAAATATATATATTATATTGAAAGTATCACAAGACGTTTTGCAACAAGGTACAACGTAGTCTTGATGCCTGCTTGACTGTCTGCATCCAACTCGTATTTTGACACACGCAACGCAGTTTTTATACGCCAGTCGGAAGATATTTTGTCGCGCCGGAGAAAAAGTGGTCGGAGATGATGGAAGATATGTTTGCTGAAAAAGAAAAAGACTCGACGGAGAGATATGCGCGTGTTGACACTCCAGGGGGGGTATTTGAAAATGAAAATCGCTGTAGTAGCCGTGGGGCCCTGCAGCCACGAGGATGACAAATGTACGTGTGGGGAGGGTTGATCAGAGCGAAGCTTGGGATGCTTAGACCGGACCCTTCTTCTTTTTTTTGTTGTCTGATTGCTTTGTCTGCTCTACCGCTTGATAAAGCCGAGCATCTTTCCCTTCTTCGCTTCCTTCTTCTTCGGGTACATTTTGGATGTCACAAAGTGGACATACCAGATGATCGCGCCGAGAACAGAGAGGCCGAAGATGACAAGGAATAGTGTAATGACTGGTCGGCCGTCTGCTTCTACTGAGCGTAGCGCAGCGGGTGTGAGGATTGGTGCGAGCCACGAGAAACTCATTTTGAGAGGAGTAGTTGTCGGGGACTTTTTTGTTGGTGTCGGACAGATTTGGCTTAGACTGACGTTGGGGCTTGCAGGGACAACGGCAAAGCTCGTGATTATAATCGGGGAATATGGACAGCCGGCTGCCAGTGAAGAGAGGGTAATAAAAAGATATCGCCGGCGATGTGATGGAGAATCAAAGGTAAGTGAACGTGATGTTTGATGGGTAGCTGCGAGATAGTATCGCGAGAGTGCGACAGCTAGCGTTCATGTATCTCCACTGACAGGCACAAGGCAACGGCGCGTCAGCCAAACCCACGTCGTTTCGCCCATGAGCTGACCTCTTGGAAATCTTGGCCGCTCGCATGATGTTTACCTCAGAAGCCATACGCCTTGCGTATGGCGACATGCCCAACGTGAGGCGATTGTGCGATATGGCGGATGTTTCAAATTCAAGGCGGGCCAAGAGACCATGGTGAGACGCTCTCGTTGCAGAAGCTTGCAATGCCCAGCCCAAGCATAATTACTGCGAGCCGGCCCACAGCAGGGCTTCTGCATCGAAGGCCCACGCCAGTGGATCCCATCAAGTCCGAGTTTCCCGCACCACGTCGGTTACTGCCGATAGTATGCTCTAAACCCGACCTGCTTTAACCGCCGTCGTCGACCCGAACGTCCCCGGGGCAGGAATGACAGCTCGCCTTAGGCTCACAGTCTGCCTAGGGCATCGGTCGCCGACGCTGCGCGTAATTGGTAGGATAAATGGGAAACCAAACTCCGAGTCGGGTAGTACAGTAGTAGTAGGTTCCCTCGGAGAATTGTGGGTAGATGATGTAGGTTGCAACACATTTACGTTGGTCTATCCAAAGTCCGGTCGAGGACACTCAAGTCCAGGGAAATTCAGCGAAGTCCAGTAAGTCGAGCCGAACACTATCGTGCTATAGTAAGGTGTTCCCGAAGATGCAGGTGATGCGAGCAGTTTTGCTGCTTCTAGCACGTGTTGGGCTTAGTAAAGGTCCTCACGTAAGCGCCGGCTCGGCTCGGCTGTGATTGGCCGCGTGCGAGAAAAGGTTCTCCTCACCAACAGACTGCTAGAAAAGAACGCGTGGTTATATGAACTCTATCTCCATCTCATCTGCATTTGACATACGTGTATAAAACAAACAACTTGGTTTGTGTAATCGCTTTCGTATCTGCTGACCTGTAGACACCTCGATAAAAGGACCCATTTTCCTACCTGACCGCGTTGGCGCATTCCCACAGTTACTCCGCCGCCACCAGTAACATACGCCCACAGCAGCAGAACTTGCTTGTTTCAACATATAAATTCAACATGGCTCCCATGAAGATTGAAAGCCCCAAATCGCCAGTCGAAAGACCTTCCTCGCGTGGCTCACCCGACCGGGCAAAGAAGCGCGCAAGTACGTCAACAGTTTGCTCCCCGATTGCTCTTACCCTTCTTCCTCGTGCTGCTGCTGCTACTTCTTAACCAAGGGCAAGGCTAATATTGCCGTACTACCCGTAGGAACACAATCGATGCCTCCCCCAGAGCTGCCGAGACTGGTGGCAGAGCAACATGCTCCCATCCCCACCAACGACAAGGACACACAACGGCTGATTGTCGTGCTCTGCAGCGCCACGCTCGAGACCTACAAGGCATCACATGGAAATGGCCGGGGACCCGGTGCGCGCGAGGATAAATACAACCTGCTCAATAGTGACGACCACATTGGCGTAATGCGGAAAATGGGGCGCGACATTAGCGAGGCTCGACCAGACATTACACACCAAGTGCGTACAAGAGGAGGCTAATGGTGCTAATCAGCTAACATGGCGACGCAGTGTCTCCTCACCCTACT